ACCCTTTCTAGGATCCATGTATGATAACTAACTTTTCCGTCCATCACTCCCATCCTTTGATCATTTTCTGCTCACACAACACTTTCCCAAGCGCTTTTAACTTTCCTTAACATTTCAGTGAAATGCCCGTCTTCATAGTAAATGAATAAGGTAGCAAGATAGTCCGGTGAAGGCGCCCCTTTCATGGGATGCCCGAATTGCCTTTGAACCAAAATAGGGTTGTAATTGATACAATATCGGGCACCTATGAGGGGTACATTGGGAAAGTCGCCACAATTCCGGATAGAGGGTTTAATCCCAAGCCAAGGAAGGCACCACTTTACATTTCCTTCACTCAAACCAGCAAAGAATTAGGCCCACTCATTTCCTCCTTTGTCTTTAAGCCCTTGGTGCGACAGATCTTCCGACGGACACTTGACATCAACCGCCCCCTTAAATACACGCGCAGTCATCCACGCATAAAGCGCCGACAAACAACAAAGAATTTTCTTTCCTTTTCTCTCATGGCAAAAGCACATGGTCCCATAAACATTTGCGAGGACTGTTGTTACAGGATTCTCTGATCTTGTCTTTCTTGCCACAAAGACATCTATTGCGGTATAATCCACAAAGTCTTTTATTTTGGGAAACAAAACAACGCCATACACTATAAGGGCTAATGATGGACAAATTTATGATCACCAAAAATATATGTCACAAACTTGTAACAATCGGCAAGTATGACCGAATCGTTTCAAGTAATAAACTCGGTAAGACCAAGTATCGTTCTCCCAAAGGACTCACGGCCTAGTTTAGTTATATGATTTGTTGATTAGCTAAGACTTAAGAACGAAATAATGGATTTTACTATGCAAAAGACGAAAATAAACATGTATGCATGAGGTTGATCAATGGCTAAAACAAAAGACAACACTTTCAATGAAATATTGATGAATATGTTGTTGGGGGTCAATTTCATCTTATACTCTCATATATTTAGGAATTCAACATTCGAGTCATCATTGTATGCCACTCTCTAAATACCTTTCAAGAAGGCTTCTCCCTAATTACGAGTTCCACGATTCCTAATCCCTAATAATTAGTTTATTTAGCATAGGAGCTTAAGGCAACCATATACTATTGGGAGAATTCCCGGATATAGACTCCCCGTACGTTCCCGTATCGACAAAATCAATAATCATGCATTGAATGAGTTAAACAAAGCAAGCCTTGAGCAAAGGAGAAAAAACCCTAACTAATGATGAAAGAAAGCATAAGTCTTAGATTAAGATGCAAGCACAAATTCCATATATGAGAGTTTCAAAAGATTACATTGATTCCCCAACAAACATACAAGGTTTAGTTCACCATATTCATGGTGAACCTAGATGAAATAATGAAAGAATGAAAGATAAAACCCTAAAAAGGTGAAGAGGTAGCCTGAGCATCCAAGATCCTCTTCAAAGGGGTGGAAGAGAGAGTGTTTGCTTCGTTTGCCAAAAATACAAACCCTAGGAGTCCTAAAGCTTATATACTATCTAAAATTACAAAAAATCTAGGTCCAAGCCCATAAGAGTGCCGCTCAGCGGTAAAGTACCGCTCAGCGGTGAGTGCGTGAGTAGTTCTCCCCTCAGCGGCATTTTGCCCTCAGCGGTTCCAACGTGAAACTCCTGAGTGCTGCTCAGCGGTAAACTGCCGCTGAGCGTAGTTGCGGCTTCTCCTTTTGCACTTTTTGATGTCTTTTCTGATTTCATCTCTCTCCTTCTTCATCTTTCACCAAATTCACCTTAAAACCTGCACAAAAACACTGAAATCAAGCATAACCTGTCCAGCTCTCTTATTTCTGAAAATATCAATAAAAGCATGATTTCAAGCTAGTTTCTAAGTATAAAGGTTGCTTTTAGTATCAATTTTAAGCATGAAAATAACAGTTTTTCAAACTGTTATCAACTAACACAACCATGAAAGTCTCCAACTCTTCCTTATCAGCTAGATGATGCAAGTATTGCTCCAGATATCCTTGTGTCAATCCACACACTTGATTCCTCATTACCATCTTGCCTTCAAGTTCTTTGGGATGTAATTTCATTATGGCGGAAATGTAGGGATAGAGGCGTGGTGTTCCAAATGCTCATATGGAGTGGTACCCTCTAGTGGTAAACCTAAGATGTGCTCAAACTCTTCTACAGTCGACGCCAACTAGAAGTCTTGAAATGTGAAGCATCTAAGCGGAGAGTCGTAATCTTGCGCAAGGGTTGTGAATAGCAAGCAATTGCACTTCCACTTCCATTAGACTCAACAGGTTTCCATACTTCTTTGAAGGTTTCTTCCTTATGGTCTTTAGCTGCTTACCTAAGTTTAGCCATGTTAGGTTTCCACATGAGTCCTCAAGCGATGTCTTTCTTACCGGCAGAATCGGTCTGTTGTGTAGCACCAGATCTTGCATCAACTTCATCTTGTATGAGATCAAGTGAATACCTGTGATTTCCCCTAAAACCAGCATGTTATCAAATGATGAATGAAAATGATGCATGAAAATACCGCGAAGTAAAACAAATGACTAACAAAAATGCATGCATAGTATGAAAATGCAAAGTCATTATTTTCAAAAAAACAAACACGCGTGAGAGTTACAGGAATACATTTCTTCCTTTATGCCCTAATAGAGGTTCAATACTTCGGATTCCAAGGCCAGTATATACAATCTCACAAGGATGGTTCCCTGAACCTAAAGATCAATGGTCACTAGAGCTATGACCCCCTTCATAGCATCTCCACAATAGTCGAGTATCAACTAGGTGCGGAGACACAAATGAAAAGAACAAACTCTAGATGGGGTTTCACGATAGCCAAACAAGAGTATGTCCCAAGTGGCACCGCTACACACCCCTCTATTTCTAAGTTGCACTCAGACCCGGGTATAGGGCCACACTCAATAGATACACAATGTGCGTATGTGAAGGGAGAATGCAATGCATCCCAACTCTCACCTACAAAACAACCAGAAAAATCTCAGGCAGATATACACATGTTTTCTACCCTAGGGTTCAATATACAACAATTATTTCAAAAATAAAGAACAAGCAAAAGAAAAAGGGAAGAAAAACATAAAGCAAAACCACATCGCATTCACATATTTAATCAAATGGCTTGACTCTCTTTATCCCCAGTGGAGTCACCATCTATCGCAACCGGAATCGCGACGGGACGACGATCCAAAAAGAAACGGGTTTAGAAAAGAGATTTGGAGTCGCCACCATAGTTTATTATGGAAAAACTATAGAAAAACCATAAAATGAAAAGGCATAGTCTCGAAAACCGGATTCGAGGTTCGGGAGTCGGTTACGTGTAGGGAAGGTGTTAGCAACCTACATCGCCTGCCCGAAGGCAGTACCTTTAATTAAATATGTGAATGTGATGTTGCTTTCAAAATGTTTAACTATCCCAAAAAGATACTATAAAGAAAAATATATTTTTAGTTTTTTAGCTCGACAAGGATTGACTTGCTCCTACGTATTCTCATTCTGAACGAGAATCAGGGTTATGTAGTTCTTTTAGAGAGAATGTGTTGTTGAAATATGGATGTTTTAGTTTTTGAAAATTTTATATATTTTTGGCATTTTTGAAAAAAAACGGGGGAGGTACCCATACCTTAGAATGATATTTAATATTTTTGTTATTATTTTTAAAATAAACAGAAAAGGTTTTTAGCACAAGGACGAGCGAGCGGTTACACATGTGCTTAACCTTTAAAAACATATTTTTTTTTATTATTTTTAAAAGAAAGAGAAAAAAGGTTTTTAGCGCAAGGACGACGCGAGCGGTCACACGTGTGCTTAACCTTTAAAACATATTTTTGGTTATTATTTATAAAAGGAAGGAGAAAAAGTTTAGCACAAGGACGACACAAGCGGTCACACGTGTGTTTAACCTTTAAAAACATATTTTGGTTATTATTTTTAAAAGAAAGAGAAAAGGTTTCTAGCACAAGGACGACGCGAGCTGTCACAACGTGTGCTTAACCTTTAAAACATAATTTTGGTTAATGATCATAGTACTAGGCTGATCTGCGGATGATCGCACGAGTACTATACCGTTATTTAAATTTTTTATATATTTTTAAAATTTTATATTATACGAAAATAAAATTATAAAAAAATACTAACTATATAGTTACCTAAGTAACTAAAATGAAATGATAGTAAATTAACAAGGTGCAAATAAAATAAAAGTAGATCTAAAAATGAAACCAAGATATAGGGTGTGAGATTTAACAAATAAAAGGGTGCATGAACAAACAAGGCACATAATGACAATGGTGCATGAAAAAATAAAAGTTGTACGAAGGAAAAGAGGATTTAAACCCATAGAAGCCCAAAACACGAGTAGGGTGCAAGAGATGTAAAACAGGTATCTAGAAAATAATCAAAACAAAAAAGTCTATAAAGAAAAAAAACAATTAAATAAACGAAATGGCCTCCAGTACCCCGGCCCCACCTTTTTTTTTCTCTCAACTCATAAATTCTTTTAGTTCGTCCAGCTCCAACCCCATTCCACCATTCGCACTCACCGCCTCAGGGACCCTATAGTCTCTCTCTCTCCCCGCGGCAAAACCTAAAGGCAACCACTACCGCAAGCGGTGCACTCACGCCTTTTCCAACCAAACGGCTGCGGCCTCGAATCGCGGCCTCAGAGTGTTGCACCAACTGTTGCTCACCACCGGATCATCGTCGCCTGCAGCGCCGAGCCTCTCTCCCTTTTCTCTTCTCCGATCGCAAGCTACTTCGAGAAAGAAGGTCGTGGACCACAAGCATTCGCTCCGAGCAGCTTCTCTTCCTCTCCTTCCATTGGGTCATTGATTTGAGGTAACAGTCCATTTTCGATCCATCTTTACCTACAAGAAACGTGATTTTTACAAACTTCCGTGTTCTCTCAGTGCGATGTGGTTTCGTTACTGTTCGATTTGGTGTGAAAGCTAATATTGTTGTGCCGACTTTTTTTGCTTGGTCGTGGAATCAGAAATGGCCACCCGCCTTGGTAAAGGGATATGGGAGTTAATCGGACTTATTGAGACTTCCTCGTGTCCAAGAGCAAAATTCCATCCGGTTGCGCGGACAATGCATTCCAAGGCAAAAAAAATTATGATAGACACCCTAGCCATGGTAAAAACTAACAGTTTTCCTCCTTGTTTGGATTTCAAAAAATTGTTTGCTTTCAATTTATTAGCTTTGCGATTTTTTGCGTATAGGTTGAAAAACTAGAAGAGAAAGGAGTATCCTCCAAAGAAGCTAAGGCAATAACCATGGTCATAACCGAATGTTTGAATGACACTGTCGAAATTATGTCTCTGTCTGTAAGATCTTTAGTGCCGACTATAATCTCTGATGGGTGGATTTAAAATTTCATCTTGTCCAGTTTTATAAATTTTATAATGTTGGATACTAATATTGTTTTGGTAATTTTTTTTTAAGACTGAGAAAATACTACAAGACCATCTGTCCAAGTTTAGAGCAGAGATGCAGAACTCACTGGTATTTCTTATTTCTTAAATATGCAAATGTTCTGTGTTATGATTTGGTGTATGTGGATATCTTAGGATTTTGTGTGGTGACATCCTATTTTATTGCCATAAATTTGACTTTACTTTGAGATTGAAACTCTAAAATATATTTATTTCTAGAGGGCTTAATTGATCCCTCTCACTATCATCTATTTATAATAAGATAAAGTCGTGATACCAAAGTACATGGAAGATTAAGGGTCTGCCCTAGACACCCAGGTGCACAAATAGGTACTATTATAGATACAACTCATAAAGACTAGCACACTACACTTTAAGTAGGCTTAATGATGATACATAGATGCATTTATTCTAATAACTTTTGTGCGGTTGGTTTGGAAGAGAGGAAAAATAGGGGAAGAAAAAACAGGGGATTCACGTATAGAAAGGAATCTGTGTAAATGATATTTCACTCTTAACTGTTGAAAAAGAATAAACAACTCTTATTTATAAAGTCAATAACAGAACATAGAAAACAGAAAATGAAACAAAATAATATCTGGAATTAATACAACATTTCTCCTTAATTAAGTACTAAAACTAACTAAGCCTAACTCAATTCTCAGATTACCAAATTTGTCCTTTTTTAAAGACTTAGTAAAAACATACTCGAGTAATTCCCTGAGTTCAACCTTGGGGACAAGGTTGATTTTCAGGGAAGGGTAATGTTAGGAGTTGGAGAGTCTATGAAAGGAGGAAGAAGACAAGAACCGAACTGTTAGGGAATGGGGTCCGAATGATAGGGGAATAGGAGTGAAGGAACCGAACGGTCGGGGAATAGGAGATGAAGGAACCGAATAGTAGGGGAATAGGAGATAAAGGACTGATCAGTTAAGAGAAGGGAGGGTGAAAGAGCAGAACGGTGAAACAATTGGAGAAGGCGGGAAAGAGGCCTATAAATGTAAACCTTTGTAATTCTGGTAGGAGTTAGTCATATTCTTTGTAGAGACAGGTCATGGACCTTGTGAGGGGAATTAGGCTCCCGAATCATCATTGTATTTGATATTCATTGCAGTGAATACATACAATTCTTTTGTTCTTCCTTGTTTGTGTGCCTTTGTGTGAGTGGGAGTTGTAAGATAGTTAGGATTCTAACCCAGGAACCTATCAGAAATGATCTTCTCGGTTGTGTAGCATAATGTTCCTTCTTAGTCCCTCTTGTACTTGGTGTGATCATGGTCAATGAGTCATTGTTGAATTTCTAGAAGCACTTCAATTTTGGGATTTAATAGACTTATGATGTGGTAGTATGTTGTCACATTTAATAATGATATTATTTATTTGGTTATTAACATTGTCGCATAAGATAGTCAGTCAGCGACACATTCAAACTTCTTTGGGGAAGCTTGCTCACATGGTCTTTGTAAAACCATGTTATAAAATGCAAGGGAGTAAAGCGAATGCAAACATTAATTTCAAGGCAGAAACTTATGAAATCCCTTTGTCCGGTTAACTTATATATTTGAAGATCTTTAAATTAAATGGGCTCTATTTATTTTGAAATTATTCATGTGTTTCTAGCAGTGG